AAAGAAAACACCAAAAGGTAAAATAAGAAAGGGAAATGGCCAAAATCAATACACTATGTTACACTTAATAAAATAAAATCAATCAATGACCTAAATATAAAGACACGTTTAAATTAGGGTATTAAGCAATGAATAATCCAAAAATTACAAAGCATACAAATAAAAGGGAAAATAATAGTTTTGGTCCCTACAGGAGATCAAAATGTAAAAACACACTAAAGTTAGAGGACTAAACAGTGAATATACAAAAAATTATAAAGTACGTGAGGAAAAGGGAAAATAGCTGTTTTGGTCCCTACAAGTGACCACTTTGTAAAAAATACTAAAAGAATGGGACCTTAGCGTGATTCCCCCAAACTTTCCCTATAAATAACACTTTTTTCTTTTTTTTCATTTGAACCAATATCAGAAAAAAAAATAGAGAGAGAACTCTCCCCTTTTCCTTCAGTCGTCCCTGCATATCATCCCGAACTGCTCCGACCGTCGCTGGCCGCCGAAAAACCTAAAACCCCCTAAAAAATAAAAAAAAACGTGGATTTATTAGTCTAGGCCCTTTTTAGGTGCTAAAACACCGAAAAACACCTTTAAAACCTTCGAAAATCACCCTAAACATTTTGGTTTTCCGGATTTCGACGACGCCTCGAACGACCCAATGTAACTCCGATCTACTATTTCTTTTTAATTTTTTCGTTTTTTTCTACGAAAATGGGTTTGTTGTGATTATTATTCCAAAAAGGCCTCTATTTTATTTTTTATTTCGAAACATATTGATTTTTTTGAAATGAAACTAAGAAAAGGGATGGTTTTATTTCGAAATCTAAAGAAAAAAAATCCTTTTTACTGAGAATCAAACCCGAAAGCAGTCAAATAAAAATCAAAATCAAAAACAAAGCTATTCGAAACTGGAAAACAAGCAAAAGTAATAACTTTGGACTTTTGATATAACTACTTCGAAAAAAGTTATAGTGTTTTTTTACCAATCATTTTTACAGATTTTCGTTTGGATTTTATACCCATTACAAAGGAAAAAAACAAATGATCATATTTTTGTTTCTTGCTTTGTGTCTTCTGCGGATAGTGGAGTGCTGGAGTGGTGGCGTGCTGGGGTAATTTTGCTGGTATTGGGGGCAGAGAATGGCGGGATTTGGTTAGTGGGCGACTGCTAGGGTTGTTTAGATCCGGGTCAGGTTTGTGCCTCCGAGTCGAGTTTTGGGTTAGGTTTTGGGTAGTTGGGCTCGATACCCGTTGGTTGGGTCGGTTGAAATAATAAAATGGTGCTAACAACTCTATTCATACAAAACCACTTAGCAATTTATCATATTTTCACCTTTCTTATTATATTTTCTCATACTATATTATTTCACATTTTAGCTCAACTCTTATAATCTTCTTTTTCTCTATATGTAAAATGTTTATATCGTCTATAATCAAATTTATTCAAAACACAACCTTTATAATTATCAAGTACCATCAGACGACTACCCACTGACAACAACTTGTACCCTAATTTCACTTCCTCCACATCAACTTCCTTAAGATAAGTAATTATCTTTTAACCTTATCTATCCACAATTTGGATTAAATATCCATTATATAATTATGAGATATACTAATTAATATAAAATTTATCCTACTATGACAGTTGTCACTTTCTTCTTGATAAGGTACTATACGGACATTACATATTTTATATATTATATCTTATTTGTTCCATTTTAACATATATAAAGAAACCACTGTTAATCATAAAATCTACTTTCGTAGTCAACCTATTTAACTTATATCTATTAAATCATATAATGATAGTATGTAACTTATACATTATTATAAAACATCGCATAACAATATAATATAAGTCCATTTAATTAAGATTTGACCAACTCATTTCATGTACGAATTAATTTATAATACAAGTTTTTGTTTATAACCTTTCAGTGTTAAATCAAACTTTATGTAAATCTTTTATTGAAAAAACATAATAATCAAACCAATATTGTTTATTACTTCATATACTATTCCATTTCTTATATCGTTTCTCTTTTTTGTATTGTTCCTTTTTCTTATACTGTTATTTTATCTTTAATTTCATTTTATAGCCCAATACATAATCATGAGAATGTATGCTACTTGAGTCTCATAGAGTGTACACTTGTATACACTTAAAGGTACCTCGTAGATATATTTGCACTCAAAAGTGCCTTGTATAATTGCACTCGAAAATGCCTTGTAGATTTACACTCGAAAGTGTCTCATATAATTGCACTCTAAAGTGCCTCGTAGAATTGCACTCGAAAGTGCCTAATAGAATCACACTCGAAAGTTCCTTGTAGAATTGCACTCGAAAGTGCCTCATAGAATTTCACTCGAAAGTGCCTCGTAGAATTGCACCGTAGGTGCCATATAAACATGTATCATATAGTCACTCCACCTCATGAACCACAAAGGTACACGATCTCATAGAGTGATCTGTACAATATTCAGTAATTACCCTACCTCGTGAATCACTAACTCTCAAGTCTTATACACAAAGCTTTTATTCAAATTTTATATCTTTTTATAATAAATCATTAGTTATCAGTTTCATATACTATTTTAATCAGGTATTCATACTTTATCTAATATAATACATTCTTATTCGTATAAATATTCTAAAAATACCATTAATGTATATTTGATATTAGATTCTCTATTAAATCAAAAACTAACTTTAATTATATCAAATTAACCAATATTTAGCCGCCAAATAAACTTTTCTTTTAATCATAATCCCAATGTTTCAAAAATATCCCAAAATATTTCCTTAATATTCAATTTGAATCCATATTAATTATTTTCACATCATATTCAATTTAATGCTTTAACTTTACATAATTATCAATTCACCACCGACTTTCCTAAAACTTACGAATTGATTTGGTTGGATCTTTATCTTATACAATTTCCATACTGATCCAAATTCCAATGTAACCATTCAAGTCCCTCAATATTTATTTAAACGTCACACATCATCTCATACTCAATTTCTACTTTAATATATAATTTCTCCATTTTTATAATTTAGCCCTTTAGTTTATACATTCTTCCAAATTCTATTCTAATTCCATAATACCATAATTTTAACCAAGGGTAAATTCTTTTAGAATTTCATCTAAACTTTTCTATTTTATTCAATATAGTCCTTTTTGGCATTAAATGCTATATTTAAGCATCATAAAACAAATTCAATATTCTAGCAACATGTTCAATTTCTACTCATTAACTTATACCTATTTCCATTTCAAACCCACAACTTATGCAATTTATAATTTAGTTATCAATCTTAACAATTTTACAAATTTAACTTCAATTCAAACTTTAATTAATATAACCAAAATTTCCATAATTTTATTTAAAACATAATACAACCATAATTACACAATTTTCACTTAAGTCCCTTCCTTTTCCATATTTTACAATTTGATCCTCAAACTTTAACAACTTTCCAAATTAGTCTAATTTTACATTCTAACATCAAATTCAACATTCTAACTTTTAAATTCCAGCATATTACATCATCTATTAAATAATTTCACTTCAATCCCTAACTTTTCCCTAAATTTCAAATAGGTCCTTATAATTTTACAAAATTTCAATTTAATCCAAATCACCATCTAAACATCAAATTTAACACTCCAGCTTTTAATTTCAACATAATACATCAATTATTAAAAAAGTGCACATAAATCTCAATATTTCTCAATTTATAATATTATGTCCCTATACTTTCACAATTTTCCAATTTGGTCCAAATCATATTCTAAGCATGTAGAATCACTCCTACTTCATTTATAGATATTGTATAATTTTTTCCATAATTGTTCTTCAGATATTTCCCTTTGGCTGAATTGATTGAACTTTCCCCAACATAGTTTCTATTTTGAATCAATCATGAATTCATCCTCTAAACAACATTTCCATGAAATTATCATAATTTCATCATATGATAAATGTCATAATTATCATGATAAGATAATAGAGTTGACTCATTTCAACCAATTAAAACAGTATATAACATAAGAATATCATAAAATGCATAATTTACCTTAATTTCATATTCTGACAGTTTGCACTACCTTCAAATAAATATTATTTTGTATTAATCTAGGCATTCAAAAATTATTTCGTTTGTACTATTAGAAAGTAGAATCGAATACAAATCTAACTATATAAGACACTTTTTCTAGTTCAACTCGTACAACTTATGGCAAAATTTTCTATTTCATAACATAATCCGAAGGCATAATGTAACAAAATAACCCTAACGTTTGACAATAGTGTCAAATTTACCCGTATTATTTTTTTTGGAACATTTGGGTACGGACGCTTATTTTTGGGTCAAAAATAACCCACACTGGATGAAAACTGTCAGCTAACTGACTGTCAATGCCGGATGCTGACGTAGCGAGCACCCGCGGAGGAGAAAGTTGATGTGGACGTCCAGGTCATTCAGATCGCTGACGTAGAACCACGTCATTTTTAAAAAAAATTATTTATATTTTTATATTATTAAATCAAACCAATCAGAGAGTGACATGTGTCACTCTCTGATTGGTGCAAAGTTAAAATGGTAAAATGCAAGAAAGAGGATTCAAACCTATGTCTCTCGAGTGAATTATTTCATGTTTTACCACCAGGCTAGGCTATTTGCTCAAGTAACTTATGAAACAGATTGTATTTAACATTCATTATTTCGTCCGAATTTCATTTAAAAAAACAAAACTCGTGTTGCTATTAGCCAGTTTTTTCCTAAACTCTTTTACCCCGATTTTTTCCTCGGCCTTAATTTCCCTTTTATCCCGATTATTACCCAAATCTCCATCTCTTTCCTCCATTCACGCCGCTCTTACTCCCAGTGTTCATGCACTTCGGGCATTTTTTTTACTGCCATTTGCTTGACAAGATCAAACGAAACAAAACCTAGAATTTTCTGTGTTTTTGCTCGCTAGTTTTCGTCATAAAAAATGACTGAGTTTTCTTTGGCTGTTACCAAGAAGAAAACCCAGTTTTCAAGCCTTTTGCTTTCTAACTTCATGCTCTTTTGCTCCTACATTCTTTCTAATCCACTTTATTTGTCTTACTTCATCTTCTTCTCTCCTTATCGCTTCAAGATTTTCTCTTTCCTTTCGTCGCTCTTTGCCACCACTTCCCTTTTAGTTCTTGCATTATTTACGGTATTAAGTTCCCAAGTAGTCGACGATGAAAGTGATGGCTTACCATGCTTGGAAGAGCTTGAAGCGTATAAGATCATGTTTGAAGCTTCAACCATTGAAGAAATTAGAGAAAACCCAGATGAAGTTTTGGAGACGGAAGCCATTGTTGATTGCTTACTAGTTGTTGATGAACTTGACGACGACGCTTCAGTTCATAACCCTGAAACATTGACGAGTGGCACTTCCGATGAAGAATCAGTGGAGATTTCACGTCCGAAAACTGTTCAGGTAAATGCTGTAGTGAAGATCTTTGGAGATTTTTTGAAAGAAAAAGATGGGTTTGAAAACTTATCGCCTAAAGAGGGAGAAAAAGATGAGGAATCCGAGGCAATGGGGAGTAAAGTAAGTGATCCAGAGGCTACAGTGGGAACTAAAAATGGCGTGGAGCTTGAAGTCAAAACAATGGTGAATTCCCAAAGCATTAACAACGAAACATCGGGGTTGAGTTATTTGAGGTCAACGAGGAAAGAAAAGGAGTGGAAGAGGACATTGGCATGCAAGATTTTCGAGGAGAGACACAAGGTGACGGCGTCGGATGAAGGTGATGAAGGGATGGATTTATTATGGGAAGCATATGAAAGAAGTGATTTCAATAAGTCGAATCTGAAAAGTGTTTGATGGAAGAAAGGTGGCAATGGCATCGAAGAAGATGAGGATGAATCGGATGGTCATTTGTGCTGTTTGCAGGCCCTCAACTTCTCGAAATAAAGAATGAATGTTAAACGCTATTTGTTTCATAAGTTACTTGAGCAGGTGGCAAAATGCGAAGCAATACACATAAGAGACCTAGGTTCGAATCCCCTTCATGCATTTCACCATTTTAACTTTGCACCCATCAGAGAGTGACACGTGTCATTCTCTGATTGGTTTGATTTAATAATATAAAAAATATAAATAATAATTTTTAAAAAATGATGTGGCATAACCACATTGATCTGGATGACCTGGACGGTCACGTCAACTTTCTTTTCCATGCGTGCTAACTACGTCAGCATCTGGCATTGATCGTCAGTTGACTGACGGTTTTCATTCAGCATGGGTTGTTTTTGACCCAAAAATAAACGTTTGGTACCCGAATGTTTCAAAAAAACAATACGGGTAAATTTGACACTACTGTCAAACGTTAGGGTTATTTTGTTGCATTATGCCTAATCCAAAAATCAAAGGAAAAAGGACTAAAATGAAGAAGAAGAAAAAGAAAGAACACATACCTTGCTTCCTGCAAACTGATCGACCATAAAAATTCCATTCGAACGCCTTTGATCTTCAATTCAACTTCCAATAATTCCTCAGATACATATCAACATAAATTATATCAGAAACGGAGCTTATTTGCGATAAACAGATCAAATCGGATGATAAATTAGTGAAAGACAGCTTACCGGGTTCGAATTTTGTGAAACGCACTTCGGATTCGGATTCAGGACGTCGAAAGCATAAAATATGACTTTTTGGAAATTTGGAATTTTTGGTCAAAATCAAAGTCAACGGGTTTGACTGGCAATTTCGAGGCCTTCGGGTTCGAATTTCGAAAAACGGACAGCGGAATCGGATTTGGAACGTCGAAAAATGTCAGGATAGGTATACTCGGTCGAAGTCAAAGGTCGTTTAATGCCCGGTCAAAGTTTTGGTCAACAGTGGTCAACGCCGGTCAACGGTCAACGGGTTGGGTCAACAGGTCGGTCGGTAAACGGGTCGGGTTAGATCGGGTTATGACCGGTCAAACCGGTCAACTATGCACCAAAACCGGTCAAACCGGTCATTTGGACCATCCCCACGCGTAGTGGCGGCACGTGGGACCCCTTCCGGCTGCCTAAAAATCACGGAAAATTTCTTAAAAATTATTTTGAGCGATTTCAAGATACTTACAAAGCTCGGTTCACAATTTTGAACGGCGGAGAGCTCGATTTCAACAAATTGGAAACTTTGACCGCTTCACCTCCTCACGCGCCGCCATCGACGGAGACCAAGGATGATACCGGCGAACTAGGAACGATGCAACGAACACGATGGTGCGGGAAGTGTCGTAAACGGATAACCCGATCGTCGTGAATCGATGAAAAACCAATTAAAACTGAGTTATTACCGACGATACTTCCGACTGAAATTCACGACGAACGACGATGATTCACGACGAAATGTTTAAGGGGTTTTGTTCCTCGGTTAACAATGAACACGATGGTGGTTTCGGCTCGTCGATCGGAGGTCGGACGGCGAGTAGATCGGAGTTGTAAGGAGGGTTGACGGGAGAGGGAAAACTGGAAAAATTTCCAGAAACATACGGGAGATTGGGGGTATATATCATCTCATAATTAAAAATGGCTAAACCAAGAGTTTAGCCAGTGAACTTCCTGCACTTCATAAAACGGTCTGCTAACTTTAAAATTTTGCAATTTAACCCACTGTTTCTTTCAAAATACCAAATTAAATCCACCACTTTATAATTTTCTTAAATTTAGCCCCTAAATTGGGGTGTTACAATTCTCCCCTCCTTAAAAGAATTTCGTCCTCGAAATTCATTCATATCACATAATTGCATAAATGAAACTTCCATCAGTTCTTTATATATATATATATATATATATATATATCTTTCATGTAGCTTTTATAGAAATATGAATCCTCCACTAATCCTTAACCAGTTGAGTATACCTTCTTATCAGAAATCTCTCTCATTACAAGTAAATAATCAAAACAACTTTATCCTTGTGGAAATCAATTCAGCCTTAGTTACGAGAATATGCTCATGCATATCCCAATTTCATTTCCGGAGTAGAGTCAGAATTTTTCAGATAAATAACTCTAACATAGCTCGTAAGGTACTTTACAGCGTTTAGACAAATGTTACTGATGTTCCTTTTTGTACAAGTATAGTCTTAACGGATAGAAACTTCGGTTTACTAGCTACAGATAGGGACTCAGCCCTGGAGTTTCGGCTCAGAGAGGTACGATTGTAGTCTAGGGGCATGTACTGATCAGACATATTTTGACATTCGACCGACCGGTCTATCTTGAAAATTTTGACTCAAACCAAAGCTCTAATACCACTAAATGTAACCCCCCAGACCGATGTGGGTAGCCTGATCCGATCCGGGGAAGTCACATTTGGGCCACCAGAGCGACCCACTGTAATTATAGCAAAAAATTTAAAACTTTTATTGAAACATGTAACTTATAAAATCAGTTTTCACTATTTAAAAATAAAACAGATTTCCAAACTCGTATATAAAACAAAATACAATTACATGCCCCCTAATCACATGTACCATACTCTGCAACAACGCCGGACGAACTCCCTTACTGAAGTAGATAGATGCACTGGTACAATTCTTTTAACCTGAAGAGGTGAGTAATAGAGTGAGCTTTGGAAAGCTCAGTAATACAGAACTACCAGATGATGCTGATGAACGTGCAGATACAGATAAATATATATTTCCTTATTGTTTCCGAACATTTACAGATTTTTATGCTGAGCAGAATCCTACTGATATTTCAGGTGGTAAAGGACAATGTGCTTTCAGTTCAGAGAAATATTTTGGATGACTGAGTTCAGGATATCATAATAGGTTTTCTAGTGTGTTCCCAAAAAGCATGTAACTTTTCAGATCTTTTTAAAACATATATATATATATATATATATATATATATATATATATATATACCCCCATCCCAACACATCATAATGTGTAGGTTCCCCAGAACCATACACCCAACCCAACACATCATATAAGGCCCTGAGCACAAAGCCGAGGAACCTGCGAAACTTTTTCCTTCAACAATACCCCCCAATTAAAACATTTTCCATCCGTAAACGGATATATCAAAAATCAAAACATAAATCAGGTCAAGTATCATATCAGAAATCAGGTCAAGTAACAGATCAGAATCCAAGTCAAGTATCAGATCAGAATCCATGTCAGATATAATATCAGAATTCATGTCAAGTATCAGATCAGAATTCAAATCGAAAATCAGATAAAATATTCATGTGAGTAGGGAACACACCAGAGTTTATGGATATTATTTAGAGGGACTAGATAATCTTATAAGGCAGAGAAACACGTATATTTAGTTTATCGATAGAATGTCGGTATTTAGGATCACTATAGGAATATTTCAATAACTATTAAAATCATCAGTTATCAGAATGTGAATTATCAAGATCATATCTTATTCGGACAGTTTTCAGAAGTTGTACGTAATCAGAAAGGTATTCAGGATCTTTTACATCCATATCAATTGAGTGGATAATCGAACAACTTAACAACGAAGATTCAGAACCTTAACAATCTATGTCGATTGATCGCATTATCGAACAACTCTTAGATGAATAGTTCCAGAACTAATACTTATCGACTGGTCATTTCGTGTTCTTCTAGGGTATTTACACTTTAATACCAAAAATTCTGATCCATAGATCATCTTCGGAATCATCACTGAATAGATCTTCCAATGTCTTTATTTCATTTTTACGCTTCCACTATATCATGAAATACTGACGTGTTTGATTTGTAGTTCATGATCCAGAAGAACAGTACATCGTGTATGTTCATTAACGTTTCCAGACTCATCCAAATCACTTATTAAAATCTTAGTTATTGAGGTTACTTATTTCACTTAGTAGTCAAATCCATTCCAATTACTTCAGAGTTTTCCAGATTAATTTGGATGTCTCTAAATTTCGGATACATATTGTACTTCTGTTCAGTTCAGTCTTCGTGGTTGATTTGTCGAACAAATATCCAATTCTTAGTGCTTAACGCGATCTAGAGTTGAGCTGAGCTGAATACTTCCAAAATTATCATCGAGCCAAACTTGAGAAGACAAACACGCATTCAAGTAATATTTATGCCGTTCTGGTACTGACATAGCTTTAGGGTTGATCTACTCACTTAAGTTTTGTTCCATAACTTTTAAAGGTAGTCCAACACCTATGCTTATTTGGATTCCTTAATTAATCCAAGACATTTACTTAATATAGGCCATAAGGGTATTTTGGTAATTTTGGTGTTCAGTTTTATTCCATTCATTTCAGACCTCGAGGATATCCAATCATTCTTGAGCTTGATGGTATTCTTGGTCATTGTACAGATTCAGTGTACTTTAATCATTTCCTTCCGTCTGATCTTACTATTAAATTCAATCTTATCATTTATTTAAGTCCTTTCGAACAATTTTGAAAACAGAACAACCCCAACAAATTGTTCTTCATGTATTTACTCATAACTCGGATATTTTCGGGTCAAGTGCCTTCTCAGATTTTACAAATGGAATATCAGGAATTTTCCTGCACTAAGTCAGGATCTTAACAATTAAATCTGTACTTAATCGAGTTAAGTACGAATCCCCTAAGTATTTTCTCATTCAGAGTCAACTCAGACTATTCTACCTCTTAAGGGCATTTCCGTAATTTCTTAACCAGATAATTTCGATATTAGCTCTTAACGAAAAATAATATAATTTAGAGATCCCATGATTAATTTCTTTCTTGAACACTCTCTGATCTTGAAACGGTTCTCTTAACAAACTTCTAGTATCCTTCACAAACTCTCATAGGATTAAAACCGGTTATCCATAATTTCCAAATAAAACTAACATTTCTTATGCACATAAATATTTTTATCAGATCAATATGTCTGTAAAATTCTCTTATCTAAATTCCATATTCAAATCTTGTCTTTTTATAACATAAGGTATTTACGAAATTTTACCCTACCGGAGTATTCTCATAATTTCTCATCCAAGTACCTTTAACATTTAACCTTTGATGAAATAAATTATAAGTTGCATATACATGGCTGATTTCTTTATCACTAATCACAAACTTGTAATTTAATCTAACAATTCCTCAATCTCTTATATTAGTCATTCTATCCGTAATTATTTACAGAATTTCTACCACATCATATCGAGTGTATAAATTATTCAACTCCACCAAAGTGACCAACATTATCTTGTTCATGCATTTATCAATATAAACATGTTTCATAAAGCATAAAGAGGTAGTAAAGTATTACCTCGATTTTCGTGCAATATTGATCGACCATAAAAATTCCATTCGAACGCCTTTGATCTTCAATTCAACTTCCAATAATTCCTCAGATACATATCAACATAAATTATATCAGAAACGGAGGTAATTTGCGATAAACGGAAAGAATCGGATGATAAATCAGTGAAAGACAGCTTACCGGGTTTGAATTTGGTGAAACGGACTTCGGATTCGGATTCAGGACGTCGAAAGCATAAAATATGACTTTTCAAAAATTTGGAATTTTTGGTCAAAATCAAAGTCAACGGGTTTGACCAGAAATTTCGAGGCCTTCGGGTTCGAATTTCAAAAAACGGACAGCGGAATCGAATTTGGAACGTCGAAAAATGTCAGGATAGGTATACTCAGTCGAAGTCAAAGGTCGTTTAATGACCGGTCAAAGCCGATCAAAGTTTTGGTCAACAGTGGTCAACGTCGGTCAACGGTCAATGGGTCAACGGTCAACGGGTCAACAGGTCGGGTCAACAGGTCGGGTCGGGTCAATGAGTCGGGTCGGGTCGGGTTATGACCGGTCAAACTGGTCAACTATGCACCCAAACCGGTCAAACCGATCATTTGGACCATCCCCACGCGCAGTGGTGGCGCGTGGGGGCGCGTGGGACCCCTTCCGGCTGCCTAAAAATCACGAAAAAATTCTTAAAAATTATTTTGAGCGATTTCAAGATACTTACAAAGCTCGGTTCACAATTTTGAATGGCGGAGAGCTCGATTTCAACAAATTGGAAACTTTGACCGCTTCACCTCCTCACGCGCCGCCGTCAACGGAGACCAAGGATGACACCGGTGAACTCGGAACGATGCAACGAACACGATGGTGCGGGAGGTGTCGTAAACGGATGACCCGATCGTCGTGAATCGATGAAAAACCAACTAAAACTGAGTTATTACCGACGATACTTCCGACTGAAATTCATGACGAACGACGATGATTCACGACGAAAGGTTTGAGGGGTTTTGTTCCTCGGTTGACAATGAACACGATGGTGGTTTCGGCTCGTCGATCGGAGGTCGGACGGCGAGTAGATCGGAGTTGTAAGAAGGGTTGACGGGAGAGGGGAAACTGGAAAAATTTCCAGAAACATACGGGAGATTGGGGGTATATATCATCTCATAATTAAAAATGGCTAAACCAAGAGTTTAGCCACTGAACTTCCTGCACTTCATAAAACGGTCTGCCAACTTTAAAATTTTGCAATTTAACCCACTGTTTCTTTCAAAATACCAAATTAAATCCACCACTTTATAATTTTCTTAAATTTAGCCCCTAAATTGGGGTGTTACAGAACAGTTGGGAAACAATAGCCTCCACAGATTGGAAGCCACAAACCTATCTATGAGCTCCTTAATAAAGGTTCGGGCCTTGGTTCCACTCGACCAAGTGAACCATCATTCTCTAGGAAAAATGTTCCAAAGATCCACATCCCGAAGACAGCTCATGAAGTCCTCTATGTACACATTAACCCATATTCGCCTTCCCTCCTTCTCTGACGCATGAAAATCACGTTGAAGTCTCTTCCCATACACCATAGGAGTGAAGAAGTAGAGGTAAGATTTGTAATTGTTTCCCAATTCATACGCTTATCTGTCCAAGTGCTCCGACCATAGAACCTTGTAAATCGAAAAGTGTACTCTTCCCAGGTAACCTTGACATTGATGTGTTGGTTGGAGAAACTTTTAAGCGAGATATTAATTCCATCTTTCCATAGCAGCAGTAACCCTACGCAGTTGTCTGATCTATCCACTGAAAGACAGCCTATCATCTTGGTAGAGAGTCTGATAGACTCTACCTTATTCTTCCGCAGCTTTGTTTCCGACATAAAAACTACCTGTCATGTTACTTGATCACTTATGTAGAGGGAGATGTGGCATGTCAATCTAGATTGTAAAAATGTGTTGTATTGTGCACCACCGAATCAAAGTTTATTCAGCGACCGAACATGTAATGAGATGATTTGGTTGAAGAATTTTATGCATAAACTTGGTTTTTCTCGGGAGAGGTATGTCCTATATTGTGATAGCCAGAGTTTTATTCATCTTGTTAAGAACTCAACTTTTCATGATAGATCAAAGCATATTGATGTGGGGAACCCTTCACCTTGAACCCAATCAAAATGAGTTGCTTGATTTGTTCTTTTTGTTTAGTAAAAAGGTTTTGCCACATTTATTATTTTCTTGGACTTTAGTGAAAAGCTATTATGCTTTTGCTTTTTTTTTAAAAAAAAAGGGCGTGGACAACAAAAATCAGATTTGAAAAATTAGTGAGAAGCTTCATACGTTTAAGAGAAAACCTGATTTTTAAAGCTTGGTGTAATAGTGATCAACTCTTCGATCGGAGGTCCATTTGTAGTTCGATTGAGCTTTTTTTTTACTGAAGCTAGACAACTTGGTGTTGAGTTTGTACGATCTTATCTTTCATTCGAGTGTTGTAGCAATAGGAACTGTCAATTTATAGCAGTCGCGTTTTCAGTGATGTTCTCCAATTTTTTCTCTTTTAATAAAGATTATGTGTTATTAGCCTTGTTGGAGTTGAATGCTTGTTGTAAGATGAATATTGTGATATTGCTGTTGAACATTTGATGATAGCGGAGCTTTTGGATCGAACTATGAAGTCTTGTGGTTTTTACCCTTGACTTAGAGGGGTTTTCCACGTAAAAATTTCATTGTATCTATTTATTTGTGTTGTAGTTGCATTGGTTGATTAATGTTGCTAGAGAACATATTATGTGATATAGTTGTTACAATAATTATTGAAAGGAGTTATAGGAAGAGAAAGAACACCGGTTGTGCTTCTGTTCGTTTTCGGTTGTTCGGATTCTTCCCCAACAATTGTTTCATACAACTTGTTTAAAAAACAATGGTATCTTTAGGGTGTATGTGCGTTGTTAGAATCCATCAAGTGACTTGAATGGTAAAAAAGGAATGTTTATATCCTAGAGATCCTGAATTCAAGTAGTGACACCTATAGATTGTGTATTGCCAATAAATTAAGAAGACTATGAACATATATTACCTTATATTTATATTATAATATTAAAAGAAAACGAGATGAATGTTAGTTAGTTATAGCGGTTTGACAATCGATTTTGTTAGCCTAACCTCATTCGGTTGGACGGTTGTAGTGTTAAAGGCAGTTAAGCCCATTCATTGGACTATATAATGCTTTTATAGTTTTATTTGAGGAAAGTAATTGGATCAATATTAATAAAATGCCCATCAACTCTTTTAATTTTAATCCTATATATATTTTTAAAACTTTTTCTTTTAATTTTAATCCTATATATATTTTTTAAACTTTTTCATTCAACTTCATCTTTGTAGGTTTCAGGCGCCGCTAATCCTTTCAGCGGTGAGCTACCCTCACTGATCGCCGGCGTCCACAACTACCGATCAACCACGGTTTTCAACACAGGCCACTAGGTTGTGAACGCTTTTATCCATATTGGGTTTATGGCCAATAACTTGATTCATAATATCGACAGGGGAACGAAAGGAAGACAAACTTCTTTTACCTTAAAATTTGATACGAGACTACGAGTAACGTAAAATAGAATTTTCAGAGGAAAATAAGAGAAATGAACAACGGAACGTCAGAGTTGAAATTCTAATGTTAAAATCAACTAGAGTTATTTGCTTATCGACGGTGCTGCAAAACACCCTTAGCAAACGAAAAGCATGAGATTATATATGCATTCACACACAATTATAATATTTATAAGATACTTCTACAGCTTGTCTTGTAAGAAAACGACAACAATATAATGTGTTTTTTGTTTCCGATGCCCGTGAAGGAGAAATACATTTTGTTTTCATCTGCAATGATTTACACAAGACCTTAAATTATTATTTTGCCATTACTCGACTGTAAGTTCAATTATGTCCCACAGCTCACATGTACTCAAAACAAAGCACAATTTTGCGAGAAAAGGAAATGAAATCAGATGTGAAATTCAATCTCTTAGACTTCCATTTTCAAGTTGACAGGCATTTTTGTCATGGCACTGATTTCTGAGACCGAGGGCACGTGAAATTCTTTTGCGGTCGTCTTAAACGTTCTCGTGAACCAGCAGGGACCCCTGTCGAAATAAACTATTCTGCTTTACCCTATCCGACATCCAAATCTTTACATTTGTAATAATATCCCAATAACAAAACTAGAAAATGTCATTTCTGGGAGCTTTAAAATCTGAAAATTAGCTTTGATTTGGACCTGTTTGATCGTGGGAAATAAACTTATTTATAAACAGCGTATCCTTGAAAATAATTGTTATTGACGAAGTACCTGGGAAGTAAAGATTCTTGAAAAATGGGTTGGTTCTTCCTTTTAATAATATTGTCGAGTTGTATAGCTATTGATTTGTCAGAGGGTAGCCATGGCCATCATCATCAGAAGAAATCTGATGTTGTTGTTGGAACTGTTTACTGTGAAACTACATGTTTCCATGAGGATGTTTCCATGAGTAGCAGCCATTTCATTTCAGGTATAATTCCATTTCTGAACATGTCTAAGCTTCCATTTTCATTTTCTGGTCTTGATTGATGTAGTTTTACGTGCAGGTGCTTCTGTTGCTGTGGAATGCAAAGATGGGACGACGAGTTCAAGGCCGAGTTTTGTGGAGGAAGTGAAAACAAACGAGTATGGTGAATTCAAAGTTCAGCTTCCTTTCTCGGTTAGCAAAAGGGTGAAGATGATCAATCGATGTTCCGTGAAATTGGTTAGAAGCGGTGAGCCGGGTTGCGATGCGGTGGCCTCGATGCCAACTTCGTCTGCACTCCATCTGGTGTCGAGAAAGCATGGAACTCATGTTTTTTCAGCTGGGGTTTTCAGCTTCAAGCCATTGAAACAACCCATCATGTGTAAAAATGGAGTCCAGCATCATCATCTTGAATCTTTCTTTTTCTTCCCTCCAAACCCTTTTTTTCCTCCGCCACTGTTTCCAAACCCCTTTCAGCCTCCACCACTGCTTCCTCCAATTCTGCCGCCACCGGCTCCGTTGATTCCAAATCCTTTCCAACCTCCACCAGCACCACTAATTCCAATCCCCTTCCAGCCTCCGCCAGCTCCACTTATTCCAAACCCCTTCCAGCCTCCTCCAGCACCAGCTCCATTAATTCCAAACCCCTTCCAGCGTCCTCCGGCACCGCCAGCTCCATTAATTCCGAACCCCTTCCAGCCTCCTCCAGCACCTCCAGCTCCATTAATTCCAAACCCCTTCCAGCCTCCTCCAGCACCACCTGCACCACCAGCACCATGGTTCCATCTTCCACCAATTCCAGGACTAACTCCACCGTCACCACCACCTCCATCTCCACCTCCACCAGCCTTCCCTTTTCCTCTTCCACCAATCCATATACCACCTTTCCCTGGTATCCCCCCTGCTTCTGCATCTACTTCACCATAGAAATCTTCTCCTTAGTTGAATACCATACGCTCCATTCACTCTTTATTTGTTTCTTTTCCACTTTCTGATTATTATATATTATATACAGTTACATAATCTACCTAAATCAGTTCTCTTGGTTGTTTGTAGAGTGATCGGCTGTGCCATTGTCAGTAAGAAGCCACCGTGACGGGCACAATTATTGTACTATATAAATAATAAATGAAGTTTCTGCAAAATCTCCCATTTTATTATCCAGGAATGCACCTGGAATCACAGACGAATAGGAATCCAGCATTTTTCTGTTTTCAATAGAAAATGTTTGGATTTGTTGAGCAATGAGTAGATTAGTAAAGCCCAGAGATTTAAACAAGGGTTATAAATTAGGAATAATCGTTCTTAGAAGTCGAAGAATCGTTGGTTCTCATCGATGAAACCAGTGTTGCTATCCCCGGTCCCCGAAGGAACTAAGAGAGACCCAGAGGGATATTTTCATAAGAGAGAAAAGGACTCGACTTTGGACTACTAGCAGGAGACCAAGGGAGCAGCTTCTTCGAAAATTGTAAGAACCCATTACGTACAATGAAGCTATGAATGATGGTCGCAACAAACTAACAAGAATTATAATTCAGTGATCAAACTAAGGACTACAATTTAGGGATATATTTGAAATTTTATCCAAACTTTAAGGTTTAAATTAAAACTTAATTATCTTTTGATGTATTACGTTATCAAAATAACAAGAATTACAATTTAGTAATCAAAATGTAATACATTAAGTAACTAAAAAGTAATGCAGCCCGAAAGAAGAGTGAAATTGGGTGCAGTTTACCCTTTATAGGATACTTTGAATCATCGAGGAACGGATTGATTCAAACCTGGAATTCGGGATGAGAAAGGGACGGAGCGGGTGCAAATATCTCTTCTCTCGTCGCTATCACTTAATATTTTTATATTCATTATCTACCCACCACATAAAGGGTAAAATTTCTAAATTCACACCCGCTTATATGGCTATATTTTCAAATCTACCCCTATACCTACAATCCAATTAGTTAAAATAAAAACATCCATTAACAAAGCATAATAAAATAAATCAATGATTAAGATAGATTTTAAAATAAATCAAGGTCTTAATACATAAAACATCATAATAAAAGACATAATTAAAGTCCTGAAACATAAATGATTGACATTGATGACGGCGAATGGAGTTACAATGTGGACATTGGTTAGATAAAGAGAAACTGATTCTAGAGATTGAGAATTTGAGATAGGGGAAATGATCGTCTTCAGTTCAAAAAAAAATTTTATACTTTAGTATTTAGTAAATTACAAGTCATATCCTATAAAATCTTAAGATTTATATAATAGTTTCTGAAATTATACTTCAATTCATAATGATCCAAAATTTATATGATTAATAGTTAGTGGGCTTACAGATGTGGGACGGGTAAGGTCTCAAGCCTATCAACTATCCACTACTCACAAAAGGATGACTTTTACATCCACATCGAATCACTACCCACCCCACCCCACCCCAATTCAAGTAGATGCAATGCGAAATCAACGAAATTGTACCTGTCTTTCATTCCTCGAAACTTGATCTCATATAATGCAACCCATTTATCAAACTATTCTGCTCCTCTTTCCTAGACAACCCAAATGTTGCCTCTCATCTTATAAAGGAAAAAAAGATTATTAATATAAATCTTTAAGAAACCATCTATAAAACATTAATACTTGTGTAGTTTACATATTTTACAACAAAACGTCTGTTAACTGCAAAATGAGATAAACAACACTTTGAGAGATGGTAGAGAGAAAACTACTCAAACTCCACTTTATGACTAAAATGTTTAGTTGCAGTAACAATGGCAGTCTCAGGCCCACTTAGCTGTGTAGTTTTTGCTGAGGTAAACTGGCAGCTTATTAAAGACAGTAGAAATCTTAAAAATGATCCACTCAAATGCTTCTCCTTTCCCTTGCTCATCTTGTTCTTCAATGAAGTTGTCTCTCTGCTTGGTTGATTGAATAATTTCCATGCTGTGTTCTGGGGGTTCTTAAACCGGATAATTTCTTGGAGATGAAGCTAATTTCGTTGCTGCTTTCTCAGTGGTCAAATTAACTTTCTGGGATTACTATGTGTTTGACAACACGTGTTGAAAATAAACACCATTCTTAGCTTCCAAGTTTGTTGAAAATTCAATAATGACAGCAACTTAATGATAAAAAAAATATATGTAATGAGGTAAGGGGAGGTAGGATAGTAGGCTGCCCCCAACACCATGTTAAGAGCAAGACTTCTGAATTATAAATTGTACACTGTGGGACTCGATTTCACGACCCCAATGTTAAAATTCTTGTGCTCTACCAATTGAGCTGGACAGGCAATAAATTGATGTTTATTGGGATATATAATAATGTTTTATTCTATTAATAGCTGATAAACCTGTGGAATTATGTGCCATATTAGTGATGAATCATTAAAGACTTAATCAAGCAAAGATAGGATTTTACCATAATCCATTGCTTTATCCTTGTTTTTGACTTGGGCATACCTTCTATAGGAGCGAAGAGACCCGAGCCTTGAACAAATCCCATAAGACGAACTCCTAGATTGGAACGGGCTGGCCAGATGGAAGCCTCAAAGAACCCGATTCAAAGGTAGTAGTTTTTTTTCCTTTTGACATAAATATGCCGTTTGGGGTACTTTATTAAAAATAAGGGTAAAGTATAGTAATGGTCACTGAACATTTCTGAAGCTTTCATTTAGGTCTCCTAACTTTTAAAACTTGCAATACAGTCCCCTAATATTTATTCCGTTTGCAATATGGTCCCCCAACTTAAACCACGGTTAGAAAATTAAGGTAAATTATATAATCGGTCATTAAACTTTTTAGACACTTGAATTTAGGTCTCTCAACTTTTAAAACTTGTAAAACATCCTTAATTTCATTATAAACCCCAATTTCCAAAGTAATTCATTTTCCTTCTAAACCATTGATTCTACTAAATCATAAATGATCACTGTATGAGCAAATTCAGGTGAATCATAAATGATCGCACTGTAAAGCACTGAAGGGTTAGGTACTCAAATCTGATAAAAAAAATAGCATGCAAGAACATAGTGGTACTTAAATCATAATGCTCCAAATGAGTGTTCCGAATTTCATATAGTCAAAAGTTGAAGAAATGAGCAGAGTTTATGGGAAGTTGAAATACCGAATAGAGTGCTTCCATTTTGCTATTCGGGAAGTTTAATCAATGCATATTGTTATTCAAAATTGATATAAATAGTTAAACAAACCTCAAATTTATATTGAAATAAATATTGTCAAATAGTAAATTCATGTTCAAAATTTCAAAACACCTTAATTTCATTCTAAACCCTAAATTCCAAAATAATTCAATTACATTCTAAACCTTAAATTGAAGTATTTTAGAATTTGGGGTTTAAAATTTAATTGAATTATTTTAGAATTTAGGGTTTAGAATGAAATTGAATTACTTTAGAAATTGGGGTTTAGAATGAAATGGAAGACTATTTTACAAGTTTTAAAAGTTGGGAGACCTAAATTCAAGTGCCCAAAAAGTTCAATGACCGTTACCCTAATTTTTTAACAGTAGTTTAAGTTGAGGGACCATATTGCAAACGGAATAAATGTTGGAAGACTGTATTGCAAGTTTTAAAAGTTATGGGACCTAAATGCAAGCTTCAGAAATGTTCAGTGACCATTACTATAGTTTACCCTAAAAATAAATAGAAAATAACTGGTAGTACAAAAAGGAAAGTAGGAAAGCTAGCAGCCACTTATCCACACAATAGAAAGCAAATAAAAAAAAACAACAACATCGAAGCAAAGAGAAAAACAGGAACAAGAACGAAAAATCAAACAGGAAAAACAAAACCCCAAGAGGAGATGACGAAACTCTTTTGCTCCCACAAGCAAGTGAAACCACTAAAGAACCGAGCAAGAAGAAAAAGAGACGAGTTCCAAAAGAAATTAGCAATGGGGACCCCTCAGAAAACAAGCAGAACCAACATCAAGGTGGGTCAAGGTGACGCCGATCAGCTTCGATGAGAGCAAGGACAGAATGGGGAGCATCTTCCACAAAAAACAAGTCAGTCATCTTCTTCAAACCTTCTGATGCGAGAGCATGGGCCAATTTGTTTGCAAATCTTAGTGTGAAACGGAAGTGGCACTCACTAATCTGAGCTATTTTCTCTTTTATATCCTTTATATAGGATCTGATTTTAGATAGGTCCATTTCAGCCGATCTGCATCTCTCCACGATAGTCCGAACATCACCTTCGACCACCAGACGATGGAAACCCTATTCCTGTGCAAAAATAAGACCATGCAAGAAAGTGATTGCCTCAGCACAAAAGGAAGATTCAACATTGTAAGAGATTCCGTAACAAGAACCCAAAGTTTGTCCATCATGATCTCTTATAACACACCCACGGCTATCTGTGAATTTTTTAGGTAAGTTGCATTCACGTTAACTTTCACTAAGGGATCCAAAGGGGGCTCCACAAAGACGACGAGTTCAAATCTGTGTGGCTGAGAGAGCTTGTCAAGGACTTAAGCTCATTTAGGGAACCACTTCTGCATGACTTTGATATTTACCCTCATATACGAGTTTATTCCCTTGAGAACTAAAGAGCCCATATTGTGATTGCCACTGTTTTAATTTTTGTTTTTTCCCCAAATTAATTGTTACCCATTCAAACCACTCCATATAGTTTAAGGCTAACACATTAGTAGGGCAAGTGAAACCAAGATAATGCCACACTTTTCGAGTGAAAGTGCAATCGCGAGCCACATGAATAACAAATTCTGTATGACGACGACACCTCGGGCAAAAAGGGTTTGGGCTATTCTCTTAGTAAAAAGATTCTGGAAAATAGGCACAAAATTATTGAAAAATTTCCATAGAACAGTATGCACCATATACGGGTATTCAATCTTCCACAGCTTGTTTAAAGTGGCTTTGACGTTCGAATCCACCAAATGACCATCAGAGAGCATCTTATGTTCGCTACGAACAGTGTATAGCCCCGTTCGTTCCCCACTCCTGGACTGTGAATCCCTGATGATCGAGTAAGGTATACAAATTATCTTAATCCTGTCAACCTCCTCCCTCGAGAAATTGGATTCTAAAAAACTCAAATTCCAGGATCTTTCACTTTGATTTATCAGATCAGCTACAACATTTAGTCCCTCAACTGCTT